ACTGAAAGAACAGGTTCGATTCGATCGAACTGTCTGCTGTATTAGTCACTTCGCATAAACCTTGTTTACATTAGCTTGATCGAGAAATTGAAAGCTGGTTGCAAGACGACCGGCATCAAGCTGTTCAGCGACGTATGACGTGTCAGAGCTCATTAAGCAGTGCGCCACGGGATACGGTGTGCAACCACCCTGCAGTTCCTCTTCCAAAGGCTAAACTGATGTGATGCATCAACAATCAACTAAAGCCCATGTCATCGCGGACCACTGAATGGTCTTCACACACGATACAATGGAGCTCCTATGCAAGACTTGCAGGTGAGAGAAAAATTCCTCACAATCGAACCTCATGCTAACTCTCCGAGACGACAAGGACGCGAAACGAAAACTGCCCACTCTGAGGCTCTATGCATATGGCGGTCAGGAAGTAGGCCGGAGTTTCGGCGGAAGAATGAAAGCATCATGGGCCAGCGGCTTTAATGAATGTTGGAGTAGCGTCGACTTGCATCCATGAGGCACCAATAACGAGGGCAAGTCAGCTAAATGATGACTCAGTCATAACATCTAAACTAAGTGAGAACTTCTCTTCAGGCGGCTGTAAAATGTAGTACATTCAAGTAATTCCGAGAGTGAGCAAGAATCGAAGCTGTTGTGCGGGAGGACGAAAGAATGCACAAATAACTAGATAGGAAGGTTCGTTATCGCACACTGTTGGTATGCTGCCTACTCATCCAGCGACAGCAACGACAGCATGTCATAACGAGAGCGGTTTTAGCCACGTCAATCCTTTCGATCCAGCAATGGCTTCAATATCCCTCACATATACACGTGATCTTCTATGGGTGAATAAGAAAAAGCGCCTGAGTAGCTAGATGGGCAAAGCGTCAAGTTCAAATTGAAAAGTTTCGAGTTCAAATGGTCGACAGACCGCTCATCTTTTACACTATTGAAAAAATTAATGTCACTATGTGGAAACATATACAATGGAACATATTTTATGCTGTACTGACCGCTTATCCAACTGTTCTTGCTAGTTTCAATAACTTAATATTTAACTTAATATTGCTTTCAATGACCTTCCTGGCCATTATGCGATAGGTACAGGCACGAGACACCGATATGCCAACGTTCGTCAGCCTACGTTGTTTCTGTTTACCGTTGCAAGAGCACCGAATTGCTACTCGTTTTTGTTGCTGAATTAACTCAGACGGTAAATCACAGACTTCTGAATCGATGGTAATTCAGAAATCCAAGTTTCGAGACAAAAACTAAAAGAACCTGATTTCGTGAAGTCTATCATAATTGCGCACCATGTTTTACAATACCCTTTTTCCGCAACGTTTCTCAAAGTTTGGAGTAGTTGAAAAGGGTAATTATCCTGGAGAATTTTCCCATCATTTTCCACGTAACGTTCAGAGAAGCACGTTCAAAAGCATGTACCAGAACTTTCGTCTATCGAGTAGAATCGAAGGCCAGTTTCTGGAATACGTTTCAATTCGGAAAAGCAGCAAACGCTGTTGCTATACAAAGCACTAAAGGCTTGTTTATAAGGTGATCGATCGACATGGACGCTTCGGCCGGCTCGTCATGGCCCTCCTTCACGCTAATCTGGCTAGTGGTCCATAGGTCAGTTCCAGGTCCGCTGCGATCATACCTCAGTGTCTCGTGCAGCACACAGAAGCCCCTGGTAGTCATAATGCGTCGACGTTGTCAAAGGATGATCGCGGATTAAACAGGTGTGTTGGCTGAGTGAATTGTGTGACCAGGCTGGTCGAGTAGACATTAGCCACTGAGTCCCTCCGACAGTGTCAACCATGCTAATCGATAGACACTCAACACAAAGTGGAAGACCCTCCTCCAACACGTTTCGCTTGTTGAGAAGCAACGCTGACTGCGCGGTTTGCTTGCCACCTCACATCCTCGAAATCTCCTACAGCCCATCATCGACCTCGTCGCGAAGAGGACCTGTCAGACATGAGCCGAAATGTCGGCAACAGACCGTCATGTGACAAGTGACAAAGTGCCATGCTGCACCGAATAAAATGAAATCGTTCGTTTGCTGTTTTCTGTGCGAAACTACAAACAAACGGACATTATATTCCACATTCGGACATGCCGCAGTCATCATATGCATATCACCATGGTCTACGAGAAAACCTCTGCAAAATTTCGTCTAAAGCTTGCATCTCTAATTTAATTAGGATTTAATTTGTTTGCCTGGAAGCCGAGTAATCAAAGTCAAAGCCAAGGCCTTGCTGCGTAACCAATCGATCAGTTAGCCAATTTACCCACCGTAAAAGCCGATGCGATGGGAAATGTCGGGAACGAATTCGTAGGCAAATTGGCCCGAAAGCTTTTTTGTGAAAAATCTGAGGCACAATCCATATGAATCTCAACAAAATAACACAATGATCTGTTCATCTTGCCATGTTTCGGTATGGAGAAATTCTTTCATGAATTGGACATTGTTTTATGAATGATTACAGGTCATAATGAGGCGCAAGATATATTTAGCATCATTGCAGTGACGATCATCTGTGAACTCAGGCAAGACAGCACGCCCAAACTCGTGCATTCGTGTTGTCATCCATTACAACAAAAAATGATCATTTGTCACCCTGTGAACTTGGACAGCTTGCCATTTAAGAAAAACAATAAACGACGGCAGCTTTGCTTTAGAGGGAGCAGTGCGCGAGGAAAACATTCTACCATACGAACGCTGATGCTGGTATCAATTTTTCTGGATTTTTTAAAATTTCTGTTAAAGGATTTTTTCCCAGACAAGCACATTAAGATGAGTTGAAAAATCTGCCGATTCCAGAGGTCAGAACGTCGCTAACCGGCACCGTAGAAATCCATCAGCATGTACTCTGTTTAGAGAAATCTTGACAGCTGTACACGAAAATGCCATCATATTCTTCGTTTTCAACGGTACCCGGTAGCGTTGAATTTCTCTGTCCCTGTGTCAACTACTGTAATTATAGTTTTTAACGATTTTTCAATTTATTATTTATCAGTTTCTTTCCCATCGATTTTCTATTCTGCTTGGTTTATATTCTTGGTCTGTTAGATTTTGGCCTAAATTTATGCGGAAACCATATCTGCTGTCAAACTGTAATCAGAGCTATCTGAATGGTACCCGTTAGTAGTGGAGTTGGCCGGGAATATTTGATTCCGCATTGCTCTTCATCACTGTTTTTTGGATTTTCAGCTGATCAGCGGCGCTGACCTTGGCAATGACAATGATCTTATGACAGACAGATAGCGCGGTTCAAAATATCCGTCTATATATCTTGTCGCCTTGCAGTAAGTAGAGATGATATGGCCATAAAGTTCAATGAGCTGTGTCACCTGGTGACTTACATAAGCAATGCAGCAACAGAACTTGCCTTTTCCTTAACTCGGTGTTAAACTGTATGAGGTAGCCAATCCGAACATCTGGTCTGAAAATGGAAGAAGGAAGTGAGGCAGTAAGGGAGATTGCCCCTCTTAAGTCTCCTCGGCTCCATCGTCTCCAGCTTGGCACCATTCAGTCAAATATAAGTCGTTCATATTTCCAGTGGTTCTGGTCACCTGCGCAATAGCACGTGATTTGCCAGTTTCCTCGACCTTGAGGCCGGATTTGATTTACTACATCGTCTAACAGTGGGCTATTGGATACCTGAACACACTGTTTACGTTACAGTAGGGACGTGCGTACGAACCTTGTTTGTTGGCAAAGTCGACAGGGAGCTACCTGAGCTGTTCCTTATTAACTGTGGAGGTGACCAGGGAGATGCGCTTTCGCCTTTGCTCTTCAGCCCTGTTCTCCACTTCCTTCTTTAAAACAGTGCCCTCAATGAAAAAGGCGAAGGTTCCATTCTGGAAAGAAGGCGCAGATCAGGATAACCGACAGATATCTTTGTGGTCTGGGGTACGAAAATGATATTATCGTTATGAGTAGCACGATGAACGGATCTGTCTCCTGGCGGCTTCCGTATGCAACGCAGCTGCGAAAGCAGGCCTCTTCCTCAACGCCCATCTGGCAGTCAGAAGTTATGAGGGAGACATCCGAAAAAGTTGATCTACAAATGGAACAGGCAGGTGAAGTGCTTCAGAAAGTTCAACAGTTTAAGTATCTCAGCTTTGTCATCACAAGCGGTAGTACTATTCAGCCGGAGTTGAACAGCAGAATCGCTCTAGCCTCGACTACTGTATGAAACCTGCCAAATATTTGGGGGGGGGGTGAGAAGGGTGTTACTCTTCCCATGAAAATTTGCTTGATCCTTTCTTTTGTCAGGTCAGTGCTATTTTGTGGCATGAACAGCATGTTATATTGAAGATGCAAGAATGACAGTTAACTGTGTGCAGCAGCGTTGGCTTTGACAGATAATGAAGGTTAAGTGGTGGGAGTATTTAAGAAATTACTTGATCATCTTCTGAGCGCCGGTGGCTGGAGATCATGAAAATAATGTTAGACCGGTTAGACCAACTAACTGAGCGTACACTATTTACTCCAGCGTGGGAACCAAAAGAGGGCAGACGTCGGCCAAGAGATTAGCATGGAATGTGGAGGAACAAGGTAGAGGCACATTCT